TGACGACAGAGGGAGCCCCGCCAATCGCTGCGTCCTTCGCGGGAGAGGACTGGCCAATCCCAGGGCGGGAAGCCACTCCGGGGTGGAGTTTTAGGGCTGGGCGGGAAGGGGGGGGAGAGGAGGGGGGGTTGGGTCTTAAAGGAGAAGTGTCCACTCAACCAGAGTGACCCCCTTCTGTTGTGTTGTCTTGTGGAAACAACACTAGACTGCAAACTGGATGTGGTCGGGTTGCTATAAGTTTTCCGGGCTGTCTGGCCATGTTCCAGAAGCATTCTCTCCTGACGTTTCGCCCACTTCTATGGCAGGCATGCTCAGAGGTTGTGAGGTCTGTTGGAAACTAGGCAAGCGAGGTTTATATATCTGTGGAATGATGTCCAGGGTGGGAGGAAGGACCCTTGTCTGTTTGAGAAAAGTGTAAATTTTTGCATTGGCTACCTTGATTAGCATTGGATGGCCTTGTAGCTCCAGAGGCTGGCTGATTGCTGCCTGGGAAATCCTTTGTTGGGAGGTATTAGCTGGCCCTGATTGTTTCTTGTCTGGGATTCCTCTGTTTGGCAAAAGTATGATAGCTGGGACTCTACGCTACGCTAGTTGCGCAATGTGGGTCAGAATTCATGAAGGGAAGACGTGCGTGAGATAGGGAGCGAGTGAGAGGCGCACCTGCGACAGGACAGCAGTGAAGAGGATAAGGGAGAAGTAATGTAAGAGTTATTTAATGTTCAACGATAAACAACGGCTTACGAAGATGTTAAACGGGATGGAAATGTTGCCTCTCCCCCTTTTTGGCAAACAATGTTGCCACGATCCTGACGCGGCTGCGCCTCTCACTCGCTGCGCTGTCTCGCACACGTGTCCCCCTCATTCATTCAGACCTGCGTTGCGCAACCGGCGTAGGGTCCCAGCTATCATACCTTTGCCCCCTAATTTTTGAGTGTTGCTCTTTTTTAAAGAATTTTTTAAATACTGGTGGCCGGAGTGTGTTCATTTCCATGGTTTCCTCCTTTCTGTTGAAACTGTCCACCTGCTTCTTGTGGATTTCAGTGGCTTCTCTGTGTAGCCTGACACGGTGGTTGCGAGAGTGGTCCAGCATTTCTGTGTTCTCCAATAATATAATTACACACACAGAACACATATACACAGGCTGGGCCACAGCAACGCGTGGCAGGGGACGGCTAGTCAGAAATATATGTGTTCTGGTGGTCCTTGGTGATCCCTCTGGAACCCCCTCTCGACCTCCCCCCCCCCAACTATCCCAACCCCCAGTTTGAGAAACACTGCTTTAAAGGAAGAGCTGTTTTCCCCCGTGTCAGCTACAGAACGACATCTCAGCAAAGCTCTTAGCACAAAGTATTGCCCAACAGCAGTTCTGAAGACACCGAGATGAAACATCTTGCCCCTAAATAGCCATTTGCGGAGGTTGCATCCCGGGCCCTCGTCTCAAGAGGCTCGTTCAGAGCAAAGCGGCTTCATCCATTAAATAGAAAAAGCCAGCCTTCCATTAGAGGCCGGCCATTCCCCCCACAAAGGGATGGAAAGTACCAAATATCACACCGAGTGGCTGGCCAAAACACCCGATGCTGGGCTAGACCGGAATACGTTGGAGGCAGCTTTGGGTCTTTTGCCATCTTTGATACCCACAACCGGGCCCATTCCTCCTGGGTTACGTGGTGAAGATGTGTCAAGGCTGGACCGCATCAGGCGGCAGTCAGGAGTTCACGTGATTAAATGGACTGTTTCCTCCAATTCATTAGTCAGAGCAATTGGTTTGACACTCTGCCTTTCTTCTTCTTGGCAAATGGAAGAAAGCAGTTCCTGCCTCTGGAAAACTAGCATATAGTGGAGTGGATGGGGGCACGGGACCCTTTAGGTGGCTGCCCAGGGCCACACACCGTACAGTGTCCCATAAGTTGTGTTATGCCATTTCAGTAAGGTTGTGTTATGCCAGCCAATCACCTTCAAGCCGGGCGAGGGGCGGAGAGCGGGGGATTTGAACCACACAACTCTGTTTTTCTATAAAAATGGACTTTATGTTTGTACATGTTATGCTGAGCTTGGCGAAAGATTGCTGCTCTGCATCCTTTTCAGCTGAATCACAATAAAATCA